TTACAGCAGGGCCAACAGCCCATTCAGTGTTTGTCAACCTTGGCAACTTTTAGATGTGTGGACTTCAACTCCCAGAATTCCCCAGTCAGCATGCTGCCCACACACCTTCAAGTCCCTGAGGTTGAGAAAAACTGACTGAGGGACCAAAGGCAACTATGATGTCCTTAACTCTTTCAGTCGTTCTTCAATGCGGAATAAAATTTTGCATTTGCATTTTGCCCCCTTACAATATAATTTTTAAAAAATGCATTGAATAGGGTTGAAAGCTTACACTTGTCTATTGTCTATAATTCGCCCACGCTGCTGACTGCTATTTAGCATTTATTAAATAAATACATTTTTTAAAAAGAAGTTTCTATTTAATGTCAATATGGAGTGCAGCCTGGGACACGGCTTGGAAGAAAACTGAATTTAAAAATTATTCAGCATTTGCTGGATTTTAATGTCTTATCGAGCAATGGAAGGACTGAGGGATCATTATGGAGGTGATCTTAGGACACCAGTTGGCCTTAATCTGGTTCTGTAGAGTCTAATTTTTCAACCTTGACAGCTTTTAAGATGTGTGAACTTCAACTGTCAGAATTAAAATAAGGAAAGAAGGAGGGACAACAGGGGAAAACATCAGAAAAAGTGGTTTTATAGTTGCAAAGATAAAAGATGGATGCTTCATAGGGCAACATCTACTCAACCTGACCCTAGAGCAGCGTTTACCAAGCTTGAAGATACGTGGATTTCAACTTCCATGCTGGCTGAGGAATTCTGGGAGTTGAAGTCCACAAGTCTTAAGGTTGCCAGGTTTGGGCTAGAATCAGCCATGGTGACTGGGGAATTCTGGGAGTTGAAAGTTCACACGTCTTAAAAGTGGTTAAGGATGAGAGAGAGTGCTTTCTCATTTTCAAATCCTTCTTTTACCTTGAAGTAAGGCTTGTTTGAGAAGTTGATGTCCTTGGCTGTGAAGAGGTGAACGTAGGTGAGGACAGACTTGATCTGGTTGAGGATGGAGGACGAGATGGTGCCCAGCAGCTCTGCCAGGCTGGGGTTATCCTTCCCCACCAGGCGAGGGGCAGCCAAGGACTGGCGCACGTCCGTCAGGCAGTCCAGGTAGAAGCTCTCCAAGGCCTGCAGATACTGTCGGATGCGCTCCTTGGCTGCCCGCACCACGATCTCCGTCCCTACGGCTGCTGCCTGCGAGGCTGGCAAAAGCTTGGCCAGGGCTTGCAGGCGCCGGTGGAAGCGGTCCAGCGCCCGCACCAGCAGCGAGTTGTCGCCCACCCCTTTCTCCAGCTGAATGCGCCTCTCCACCAGGGCGAAGTAGCGCTCCATCAGGCCATCGACGAAGGCCACCAGCTTGTCGTGAGCCATGTGGGCGATGCCCTGGGCGCCCTCCCGGTTGATGAACAGCTCCTGGTAGGAGGCAATCACCAGGCAGATGTTGCTGACGAAGCTGTTGCACCCGCGGTCCGTGAATTCAAGGATGTCGGTGGCTGGGCCGGCCGACCCGAAATGCAGCCCGTCTCCCAGTTCGGCCTCCAGGTTCCGCAGCTCAGCCTCCAGCCGGCAGTGGGCGTGGGAGAGGAATTCGTCGCACAGCTCTTCTGCCGGCTCGCCCAGCTGCAGCAGCAGTTCCACGCATTCGGCTAAGTCCTTGGCACCGGAGCCTCCGTCCCTGGAGTAACAAAACAAAACAAAACAAAACAGGGGGACTCATCAGAAGGCTCAACTACAAGAAGTCCTCGACTTACAACAGTCTGTTTAGTGACCAAAGTTACAACACCACCGGAGAAAATGACTGTTTTTCATATTTCCAACCATTGCAGCATCTTTGTGGTCACAGGATCAAAATCCAGACGCTTGGCAACTGACTAGTACTTATGACGGTTGCAGTGTCCCAGGGTCACGTGACCCCCTTTTGTGACCTTCTGACAAGCAAAGTCAATGAGGGAGCCAGATTCACTTAACAGCCATGTTACCAACTTAACTGCAGTGATTCACTTAACAACAGTGGCAAGCAAGGTCATAAAATGGGGCAAGATTCACTTAACAAATCTCACCTAGCAACATAAATTTTGGACTCAGTTGCGGTCATAAGTCAACACTCTGCAATTTACAGGTTGTCCTCAACATACAACCACAATTGGTTGTAGCCATCACTTCCCCAAATTGATTTGTTTCAGGCAATTTAATTAAGAAATGTACTTTCAAAGTACATTTTATTTAACATTTATTTATGTCACCGGCCCTTTTTATACTGGTAGTCCTCGGCTTACGACCACAATTGAGCCCAAAATTTATGTTGCTAAGTGAGACCTTTGTTAAGCGGGTTTTGCCCCATTTCACGACTTTTCTCACCACAGTTGTTAAGGGAATCACCGCAGCGGTTAAATTAGTAACCCGGTTGTTAAGTGAGTCCGGCTTCGCCCACTGACTTTGCTGGTCGGAAGGCCGCCCAAGCCGAGGGCCGCCTGTGTTTCTTTACAAAACCTTGTGGCTGGGCTGTTTTAGCCCTCTGCGAATTCAGTGACCTTCCGGGCCAACCGGCTCCCCTAGTCTCACCGCCTCCTCTGGACGCCTACCGGAATTTCTCCCGCAGCTTCTGAGCGAGGTCAGCCATGATCTTCTGGCAGTCGTCCTGGATGCCCCGGAAGGAGGGCATCTGTTGGTACTGGTGGAGGATGCAGCGGGCTTTGCTGTAGTACCGGACCGCTTGCCCGTAGGCCGCCAGCTCCACGCACTTGGTGAGACGGGCCGGAAGCTCGAACAGGAATTGTAGCTTGCGCAGCAGCGCATGGACTCCTGGGGTTGGGAGAGGGGATCAGGAGACACGGGTTAGGCCAGTGATGGCGAACCTTTTAGAGACTGAGTGCCCAAACTGCAACCCAAAACCCACTTATACATCATCGGGTGCCAGGTGGGTGTGGCCTATTGGGTGGGTGTGGCCCATTGGGTGGGCGTGGCTACGGTGGTAACGGCAGACTGGGTGGGACTAAAAAGTTCAATCAATCAATTCCAACTTTGCAAGATCTTTTTTTCCCCGCAAGAAGTTGAAATTGACTGATTGAACTTTTTTTTTTTTTGCACATGGCGGCGGAGGCCTAAAGCGAAAAGATTTTATAAAACCCAGCTGAAGGCCTAGGACTGGGGCGACGGCGCGCGTGCCCACAGAGAGGGCTCTGAGTGCCGCCTCTGGCACCCGTGCCATAGGTTCGCCACCACTGGGTTAGGCTCTTCTCCATTTGGGAACTAACACATTCCTCTCAAAGTTGTTGCTAAATCTGCCAGTGAATTTTTGCCAAATCTGCCGGTTGTGTACAGGCAGTCCTCGGCTTACAACCACTTACAGCCAAAAATTCCGTTGCTAAGCAAGACAGTTGTTAAGCGAGTTTTGCCCCCTTTTCCAAGCTTTCTTGCCACAGTTGCTAAGTGAATCACTGCAGTTGTTAAATTAGTAACCTGGTTGTTAAGTGAATCCGGCTTTCCCCGTGGATTTTGCTCGTCAGAGGGTTGCAAAACTTTATTACATAACCTCAGGACAGTGTAGCCGTCACAAATGTGAGTCTGCTGCCAAATGTCCGAATTTTGATCACATGGGGATGCTGCAACGGTGTGAAAAATAATCATAACTCACTTTGTTCGGTGCCAACTTCGAACGGTCACTAAATGAACATGTCAGGTCCCCAAAGAAATGTCTTTCATGCGTATACCCGTTTCCCATTCTCTGCAGCCTTTCTTTGTGACCTGCTATTCTGCTGGGAGGGGGCAGCCTTTGGGGGACGCTTTGTGCTGTCTGCTGATGCCCTCCCACCCTCCCCCAGGGGTGGGATGTCTGGCCCTTATCTGAGAGATGGTTTGCTTGGAGCCAGGAGACATCAAAAGTGAGAGAGACCTTGAGGAGCCCCCCGAAAAGACCCGTTACCAAAACTCCATGCCACCTGTGGATTGGCTGGGCTTCAAACGGACACGGGGACACTGGGGGAGAGGAGTGCTGAATGTTGCTTTTAATATATCACTTTGTGGGTTTTTCTCACAGATCTCACCTTAATAATAATAATAATAAAGTTGGAAGGGACCTTGGAGGTCATCGAGTCCAACCCCCTGCCCAGGCAGGAACCCTACACCATTTGAGACAAATGGCTGTCCAGTCTCTTCTTAAAAACTTCCAGTGTTGGAGCATTCACCACTTCTGGAGGCAGGTTGTTCCACTGGTTAATTGTTCTAACTGTCAGGAAGTTTCTCCTTAGTTCTAAGTTGCTTCTCTCCTTGATCAGTTTCCACCCATTGCTTCTCGTCCTGCCTTCAGGTGCCTTGGAGAATAGCTTGGCTCCCTCTTCTTTGTGGCAGCCCCTGAGATATTGGAACACTGCTATCATGTCCCCTGCTGTCCCCCTTGTCGTCCCTGCTGTCATTGGACTCTAATAAAAGTCCCTTTTGAGACAATGCCTGTTTCAAGAGTTCTGCTGTCTTGGGTGGCTTAGCTGAGGTGGGTCCTTACAGAACGGTGGCAAGTCAAGGACGACCCCTGTGCCAAATCCACATCCCACCCACCACGCTTATGCTTTTCCAGGAGATCTTTGCCCAACCATCTTACGCTGGTTTTAATGCAAGGAGGCTGCCAAGGCAGGAGCACTTTGCAGACGCAGAGTTTATGGAACAAATCGGACTACGGATAGTCCTCGACTTACAATCGTCCGTTTAGTGACCGTTCAAAGTTGCAATGGCACTGAAAAAAGCAACCAGATGACCAGTACTTACACACACTTGTTGCAGCATCCCCAGCCTCACGTGACCAAAATTCAAGCTCTTGGCAACTGGCACGTATTTATGACGGTTGCAGCATCCCGGGATCACATGATCGCCATTTGTGACCTTCCCACAAGCCAACGTCAAAAGGGGGGGGGGGGGAGCCAGTTTCACTTAATGGCCGCAAGATTCATTTAACAACTGCAGTGATTTGCTTAACGGGTCTTGCATAAAGGTCGTAAAACTGGGCACGGCTCCCTCAATGACTGCCTTGTTTTGCAACGGAAGTTCAGGTCCCAAATGTGGTCGCTAAGTTGAGTGTATCTGCTGTCAACTGGTTTGTCGTCTCATGAGATAATAGGGCTCTTGTAAGGAAGATGGGGATTATCTAAACATCTGGTTCTCTACAAGTCAGATACTTATCTTGCAGCACAGATGACATAATATTCATAATTAACACATTTGCCTAAGCTATCTTTATAAATATGAATAGTAATAGGGAATGCATAATTAGAAAAGCCACCTATCTCTATGGTTCGTTGAATCTTATTATTGAGAAGACTATAGCTCCTATATGACCTGTGGACTTCAATTCCCAGAATTCCTGAGCCAGCCAGGAGTTGATTGGCTGGGAGTTAAAGTCCACAGGTCGAAAAGAGGCCATAGTTTCCCATCCCTGTCATAGAAGGACCGGGAATATTAAGCCTCCTGTGTCCTTCTTGTCATCCAAGAAAATTCACTGCTGAAATTAGATGCTTCGGTCTCACATCCATCTAAAACCCCTGGGGGGGCATGGCAGACACACCCACCGGACAGCTTGGTGATCTGCTCGTGTTGATCCTGCAGGGTCCCACTGATGCTGGCGCTAAACTCGGTGATCACGGCCATGTTGGCGGCCAGGCAATCCATCTCATCTTCCATCTTCTTGAAGTCGTTCTTCATCTTGCGGATTGTGTCTAGCGGGGGAAAGGAAAGGAGTAACAGAATAACAGAGTGGGAAGGGACCTCGGAGGTCTACTAGTCCAGCCCCCTGCTCAAACAGGAGACCCTATACCATTTCAGGCAAGTGGCTGTCCAGTCTGTTCTTAAAAGCTTCCAGGCAAGCGAGTTCCACTGATTAATTGTCCTCACTGTTAGGAAGTTTCTCCTTAATTCCAGGTTGCTTCTCTCCTTGATGAGTTTCCATCCGTTGCTTCTTGTCCTGCCTTCAGGCGCTTTGGAAAATAGGCTAACCCCCTCCTCTTTGTGGCAGCCCCTCAAATACTGGGATACTGCTATCATGTCACTCCCTGGTCCTTCTTTTCTCTAGACTGGCCAAACCCAATTCCTGCAACTGTTCTTCATATGTTTTTGTCTCGGATGGGTTTATTCTAGGTGGCTTACAACAATAAAAAGAAGAAATGACAAGAGTGTGAACAGAACAGAAAATAATAGAACAATAAACTAAACAATGAAAGAGAACACAATGAGAAATACAACTCTATGATTACCATAAAAGATGAAATATACTCAGATGAAATGCTCGCAATTTGGGTCAAAGGCATGACAGAAGAAACATATTTCGGCAAGGTTTTTTCCTCCTCTACTTGACAGGCTTTCTTGCAATGCTGAACATTCCCAGAGCATCATACTGCATAATCATAAAAATTCAACCCCAAGTCGAGGACTGACCTGTACATCTAAAGACAGGTTTTCAGGCAACACAGTCCTAAACCACTTAAGATGCTTTATGTGAAAAGCATCAATTTTCAAGTCTTTATACATTCCAGAGGGCAAGGTATCCCCTTCCCCAAATTACCTGTGGCTGAAATGAACTTGTTGTAATTCTCATAGACCAAGGTCTGCATGTCACTATCCAGTGCTCGGATCTGCTTCACCATGTCTGTCTCACAGTCCATCAGCTGAGCCAAAGGGCATTCCTTCCGCAGCTGATAGAGGGGAAAACAATATGTTTTCTGATGGCAGAAAACAGCTTTGCTGGTTCTTTTGTCTTTATTGCAAGATCCTGAGATTGGCAGAAAAAAGCCTTGAGACCAAATCCCAATCAACATCTACGGAGAGGGAGGACTCATTGAAGAAGACCAAGACTTTGAGGCAGTTTTTTTTTTTAGCAACAGCACTTAGACTTATATACCACTTCACAGTGGTTTTAGTCTCTCTAGCTGGTTTATAGAGTCAGCATCTTGCCCACAACAATCTGGGTCCTCATTTTGCCCACCACAGAAGGATGGAAGGCTGAGTCAACCTGGAGCCGGTCAGGATCGAACTATTGGCAGTGAGCAAGCCTGCAAAGCTGCATTCTAAGCACTGCACCACCATGGCAATAGAACAGAAGAATAGAATAGGAATAATAATAATAATAATAATAATAATAATAATAATAATAGAACATCAATAGCATTTAGACTTATATCCCGCTTCACAGTGCTCCACAGCCCTCTCTAAGCAGTTTACAGAGTCAGCCTCTTGCCCCCAACAATCTGGGTCCTCATTTTACGGCCTCGGAAGAATGGAAGACTGAGTCAACCTTGAGCCGGTCAGGATCGAACTGAGTGAGCAGTGAGTTAGCCTGCAATGTTGCACTCTAACCACCCAGCTAATACAGGTCTGATTTTATGACACACACCCCTCCCATTTAACTCCAAAGTCCAGAATTTAAAACACAAAATAACAGAAGGGTCTTCTAGTCCAGGCCCCTCCTCAAGCAGGAGACCGTATACCAGGGGTCTTCTAACTTGGCCCTTTTATGACTTGTGGACTTCAACTCCCAGAATTCCTCAGCCAGCGTGCCTGACTGAGGATTTCTGGGAGTTGAAGTCCACAAGTCATAAAAGGACCAGGTTTGAAGACCCCTGCCTTATACCATCCAGGACAAACGGCTGTCCATTCTCTTC